AATAATAATAATAATAATAATAATAATCTTACTCCCAGGAAAAAGAGTAATTCCTTTGAAGATCATTACCATATGCCACTGTTGGCTCTTGTATTAAAATTAACAAAGCACAAACTCTCTTTTTAAATAAAACAAACACGATAAGAGCCATGTGCTGCGTTCAGCCCCCACCCCATGGCTCATCCCACGCTCCCAACTTTGTAAACACAAAATGTGCGCACAGCACTTTGAAGATCGCTGATGTAAATATTTTGGGTTGGAGTTCCCTTCCAAAAGGAAAGAACTAGTCACCGGTTACCACAATTACAAATTCTCTCAAAGGTGATGCAGGAAAAACAATATTTAAGAACAAATAATCTCTCTCTCCTCCAAAATCTAGAAAAACAGAAAAGTTTAAGATGCATTCAAGAATATCTCATTGTTTATTCACAAGCAATTGAAAAACAAGAAGTGGTCAAAAAAATGTAGAAAGAGGCTCTATGGCAAAACTAAAAGGTTACTGGAAAGAGAAATGGGTGTTTCTCTTCTCCTTTCCAGGTCTGCCCGTGGGGAGATTCTCACTGAGCAGGTATCTGAGGCTCCGAGGGCCCCCAGGCCTAGAGCCGCGAGTCCGGCACGATCCGGTACCAGGGCTGCAAGGACAGCGCGGACCCGGCGGGAGGCACGGCCCGCAAGGCCGCCACACCCCCGAGAGCGCAGGTGTGGGGGATGCGGCTAGGACTCACCCCTCCTCCATATCCCGGGTAGGCCATGACAAGCCGAGGGCGTCACCCGTTGTCACTTTCCCGGTGGGGTTGAGTCAGGTGGAAGAACCGCGCAGGTGCAAGCACGAGCGCAGGTGCAGGCGCAAGTGCAGCTGAGTTTGGGGGCCAAGGTACCCGGGTCTTTCACTCCCAGGAAACTGCCGGGTCCCCCGAGGTTAGCCCCGCCCCGCTCACGTCCGATTGGCTGAGGAGTCTCGCCCTCCGAGTCCATCCTGCGAGAGCCCGCCCCTTCCACGACGCTGGCCCCATCCTTCTCGGCGCTTATTGGCTACGTTCCGTAGCTTGCAGCCCAGCTCATCCCTGCCTGGCTTTTACTGGCTAACTCAAATTCTTAACCCAAAGTCTTTTCCCTCTGTAGTTCTCACATTCTCTAGAAAGGTTCTAAAGGTCATCATGTCTTTAAATTCTTTTTTTTTTTTTTTTTTTTTGTGGAGCCAGCCTGTTTTGACCTGGACTTCAAATAGTACACAACTGAGAATATCAGAGGTTGCTTATATTTACTTTTGTATAGCACTGAGGTCACAAGAAAATTTTGAAATTGTGACCACAGCTAAGTCCCCAAGGGAAGAACTTCTGCCTTAATATCTACTATCCTTGATTTAAGAAAAGGTTATTTGTAATCTGATTCATAAATAATGAATAGTTGTCAGGTTCAGTAAATAAGAATATAAAAATTTCATTTAAATTTGATTTTTCAAATAAATGAGTTTTAGTGTCTGTCCCAAATATTTCACTTTATTATATTATACAGGACATCCTGTAAATTATCTGGCAACCCTACCTATGGCTCAACTTTTGGGCAAACTCTTGAGACACACTTCCTTAGTTATGAATACGAGGAGAACAGGTTTTTTATTATTTGTGATTTTTAAATCTTTTAAAATTCTCATGTTCTACCAACTGAGCTAGCTGGGCACTTTTTAACCTTTTAAGTATTCAGTTATTTTGGTTTATTTAATAGCAGCAGTTGAGAAGTTTGCCTGTCTCTGGAATCCAAATGATTCCATAGTTCCAAGCTAAAAATAAAATAAAACAAAACAAAAAAACAGCACTATAGATTCAGCTTAAAAGCAACAATGGCTACTATGATACTAATTAATACTTAAAGAATAAGAGCTCAGTCTGTTTCATAAACTAGCTGTCTCCAAACAATGCATTAGCTATTAGGAGAAGAAGTCAACTTTGCAAGACTGAGCAGCTTAGCTATTGCTCAGCTACAGGACAGCGGAAGAGTGCTTTGGGGATTGTGAAACAAATTTACCAGAAAGAGGCAGAGGAAAAGGAAAATTGCTACTGTACAAACTGCTCTTTGGAAAGTGTCAGGTCCTCTAATACTTTCTATACAATCAGGTTAAATAAAGATGTATAGCAAAACCTACTTGATAACAGGCAGAATGTATAGCTCCTTAAAATCATGATAAAGTGTTAGAATGCAGAATAATCATTTCCAAGTTAATATAACTTATTGACTATGTATTCCAGGGAGATGCCTAGGAAGGATTGAGTACATTCCTTTACAATGTTGGTCTAAATCTAAGGTCAGCCTTTCTAATGTACATTTTTTTTTCATCAAGACAGACTTTCTGGTGGATTCCATTTGCATTTGTCTCCACAGGTCTGTTGCATTTCTGCAGGTCTGATTCCAAAGATGGTATTTTCCTCCAGGGCAAAAGTTTGATGTTCACTTGCAGATCTTTCAAAATCATAGGACATTTTAAGCATGGACTTCCTTATCAGATAACAAACCCATTGCGTGTTGAAGCACCCTTATGGCAGCTCCTCTTTGCCTGCTAGGACTTTGGTCATCTTATTTGCTGGGCTTTAAGTAATAGTCTTTTGTCTCTGACCCAGGAACCTCATCAATTCTGCCAACTTTTATGAAACTGACAGGCATATTAGCTGGCAAAAATGATGCATCATTGGGTCCTCTATAGTTCCTAACAATGTATCTCGTTGGTAGAGGAAGGCCATTAAGAAAAAGGTTTTTGTTTTTTTTTTCCTATGGAGATGAAGACAGACAGAGTTGTGAACATTGCAGTGATAGGTGTCTGCAGTCTCTCCCTAAACACACACACATATATGTAGTTCATATTTGTGTTTGTTTTTGAGACAGGATCTTGCTATTCAGGCTGGCTTTGAAATCCCTTATGTAGCCCAGGCTGGCCTTCAACTCATGGTGACCCTCTTGCCTCCGTCTCCTGAGTGCTGGCTTTACTGGTGTGAGCCACCATGCGCAGCTCAAATTATATTTTAATATAACAACTCATATGAGCCCAGATAAAAACTTTTTAAATAATAGTAGTGATAATTTCCTTTCCTAATTCAGTTAGTATAAATAGTAGCATTTTATGATAATGGAATGTATGAAAACAATTCAAATCACTTTTCTTACATAAAATGCTTCATTATTCTGTTAAATAGCTATTTCTTTGTGTGTGTGTGTTTGTGTGTGTGTGTGTGTGTGTGTGCAGGGTCTCACTATGCAGCTCAGACTCGTAGTGATCCTCCCGTTTTCAGCCTCCCAAACACTGGGATTACAGACAGTAACAATTTAGTTATAAACCCACAGTAGTTTCTTTCAGCAACTACTAAGGCCTGTTATTTACCAGTGAGGAAAGAGGAGAAAGAATAAGCTTTGCAAAGAAGACAAAAACAAACGCTGCTTACACTTGTCACCTCAGTCAGCCCCTTGACAAACTGACTTTTCTTCAACTAAGCTCTTAACAATCATTTTCTGTTTCTAATTCTAGTAATATTGAGTACCCTTTCACAGAAGCACAAATGTTAAAGCAATTTGTCAAACAGTGCATCGATGAAAAATATCAGCAGGACACTCTGTGGGTTCCTGAATACGTACATCCTCCCATCATTGCCCTGCTAAGCCATATGGATCCAATGCAAATTTCTTCAGAAATAGTGATGCAGTAGGTGCTCACACGTAAGCCAAATAATAGCAGCAACATAGTTATAACCTCCGTAATTTGCTTGCAGGAAAGTTAAACCCAAGTTTCATGCTTCTGATCATGGCTTACATTGTATAAATGCATCAATACGTTCATACAACTAATTTTTTAGAAAGATATAAATTAAATCTTTCAATTGAATACTTTTTTAAATGGTGTCGATCTCTTGGTTAGTAGCTTGCTACATATAAGGAGAATTAACTTACAGTACTCTTATTACATAAAATTAAAAATAGTTTCTTCAAAAACTGAAAAATATTCCAATTCATAAGTATAGTCTGGACTACCATCCAAAATAATTTAATTCCATTTAATCCTCAAGTTGTTATGTATTTGCAAAATAATACCTCACATCTTTATAAAATGAACACAAGGAATATACCTGCTAATAAGAATAAGTAATTCCCAATCTGTTTATCATACAGTACAAGCTCAATGTCATGACTGTTTTACACTTCACCACATTTGATCTTTGTAATACTCTTGTGAAATAAGCAGTACAAATTACATTTTAGAAGAAGCTAAGGTAGCAATAAGTTACATTGTCGAGGTAGACACAGATCAGTACAGTTGCAAAATACTTTTATTTTTTTAAATCATTTATTTATTTATTTATTTACTTGGTATAGGGTCTCGCTATGAAGCTTGGACTCAGTCATTTTCCTGTCTCAGCCTCCCCAGCACTGGCACTATAGATGTGCGTCATCATGTCTGGTTTCGGTGGCCCACACAGGGCACAGCATCAGGGATTGGTATCAGGGATCAAACTTGTGTCCTTGCGCTTGCCAGGCAGGCACCTAGACTGCTGAGCTATCTCCCCAGCCCTGCAAAATATTTTTACAATAAAACATATGACCTGATTAGGTTTTTTTTCTGTAATTTTTTTTTTCTAGGAAAAGGTCTACAGGGTGTTCAGGGTCTCACCACTAAATTGGACTTGTAGTGGTTCTCCTGTTTGCAGCTTCCCAAGTGCTGGGATTACAGGTACCACCATGCCTGGTCTCAATTGCCATCTCAGCATGTCCCGAGGGTGGGGTTGACACAGCAGGCCCAGGGTCTGAGCCCCTGGGCCCTGCACGTGCTTACAGGTGCTTTAATCCACTGAGCTATTTGGCCAGCCCTGACCTGGTTATTTTTCATCTTAAGAAAATGATACCCATAATATGTTTCTAGTTTTGAATTAATGAGTAAATAAAGTCATATTTTTAAAGCTTTTAAAGTTGAAATAAAAGTAAAAGAAAAACCTTAGTACTCTTCCTGAAAGTAGGAGCTATGGTACATACTGACACAGAATGAAGAAAGACCCATGATCAGGGATGGTGCTGGGGAGCTCTAAATGGATACAGCGTACACCACCCAAGCACCACAAAACTCAGCTTACCTGAGAGGTTTGCCTTGTTTTCTAGTCTTCAACACTAAGACTAATTTCTTGAAACTACCAGAAAAATGCAGATGGAACAGTCAAACACACTAACGAAGATAATGTAACAAAAACAATATTTAACAGAGCTAATGACATCGATAAGAGACACAGATAAAATTAATCCTAGTACAAGCAATGCACAGCCCCATTATCACCCTTAAGCTGAAGATACAGGATTGGGTTGTTGAAAACTGGATAGCGTTGTCATAGAAAGATTTCCTCTATCGGGGGTGAAGAATGTGGAGAGGGGTGAGGAGTGGATCTTCAGGCTTAGCAGGAGAAAGAATCCCAACCATCTTAGTCACTTTCTCCTCACTGGGATGAAATATCAGACACCTGCAACTTCAAGAAGGAAATGTTTATTTTATTCATGTTTCAGTACGTTATCCCTTGGCTCAAAAAGGCAGGCCAGGATGGCAAATGGTCATGGTGAAAGAAAAGGGCTCATAGCGCGAGACCCAGGAAGCAGCGACCATCACTCCAGTGACCTCTTCCTTCTTACCTGGTGCCACCTCTTAAAGGCACGTCAACTCCAATGACCTAGACACCTTCTAAAGGCCCCACTGGTGAGCCAGTGAGCTTTCAGGAGGCCATCTAGATGTAGCCCATAACACCAGCCCCTCTGAAGTAAAGGAAGTTCCAAAGCTTAAGGAAAGAAAATTTTCAGGGCAAAAAAAATAAATATACAATAATTAAGTAGTGCATCCGTTTTTTAGATTAATATGTGACTAAAAACATACAACTGAAAA